CAGGAGATCCCATCACCTGGGTCCCCAGCCAGGGAAAACCCTGGGGGTGGTAGGCTCCCCTTAGTTGGGTATTTGTGAGGGGTGGAACCCAGCCAAAGCTCACAGCATCATTAAGCTCAAGCACTGATGTGCACAGCACCTGCTACAGTTCCTAGTCTGATGCTGTCTGGGAGATGTCTGGCTTGTCCACATCATCCCCTTATGAGTTCACAAAATCAGCTCTGTCCATCTACATTCCTCTTCCTTTTTATGCAGCTTTCCAACACAAAAAGAATTTTCCAGAAGAGGTCTGTGGCTCTTTTCTCTGCTGAGCAGCTGCAGGAGATGTTGCCAAATAAAACCTAGTTGTCTTGGCAGTCTCTGCTGGGTTGTGATACCACCAAGTTAAAATGATGCGGATTAAAAAGAAAGCTGATCAGCATCAGAAGTGAGCTGCCAGGCTGCTGGGATCCACAGAGGAGGCTCACGGCTAAGGGAGAGGTGATCTCCAAGGACTGTAGGTGGACAGTATTCGCTACCGTGCTGGCAACTTCCTATGATCTTCTCTTCAGAAATGAGCGCGTGAAGACAGAGAAAAGAAACAAAAAGGAGACCTTGAGATGAGTAAGCCCAAAGTGGTCAAAGATTTCAATGAATTGAGATAAATTTCCTGTTTTGTCTGTGTCACTGTTGCTCTGGCCTGGATCTCAGAAACTTCTTTAAGTACTCATCTGGGACAGAGAGACATGTCGGAAAGCAGAAAGAAACTTTTCAGGTGTCGGGTAAAGCTGAAATGCTGAATGATTTTAGCTTTTTCTGAGTTGGCTCATTCCATAACCAGCCCTATTTGCACCGAGGAGCTGTGGGACTGGCTACGTTTGAAGCACAGGCTCAAGCAGGTTGTGCCTACGCAAAGAGACCCCTCCTCAATTCTGGCAACACTCCTCGCGCAGCTCTGCCTTGGTCTGCGGCATCTGCCGCTTCTGTGCCGCGGTCCTCCAGTGTACCAGCCCGAACACAACGCAGGTTCTGCCTGTGGTGCTCCTGCCTGCAGCCCCTTCCCACGCTCACGGACAGGATGCATAGCACGGAAGAACAAAGTGCTTTGCCCGGCATCGAGCTGAGCGATGGGAGATGAATCACACGCTCACCGGCGTTTGGCACGTCCAACAAGGGTCAGGTATGACAGCGGCAACCTGGGAGGAGGCTCTGGGGAGAAACGTCTTAATGTGAGAACAATAGAGGGAAGTGAGCTAAAGCACTTAGGAAAGAAGAGATCAGAGTGCTCTGAAGTGAGCACAGAACAATCGGAGGGAAAAGGTAAAACAGGGACCGGCTGTTCTGCATCACAATCAGAAAGTAAAATCTATCTGAAGGAGAAACAGAGTGAAGAGAGACAAAAAGGAGAAATTGTCTCCTGTTTGTGAACATTAAGACAAGAAGTAACCCAACTCCCAGCAGATTCAAGACACCTTCCCTGGAGCCAAGACCACTGGCAGACAGCAGTGACTGACTGTCCGTGGCAGCAGCTCCGGAAGGGGATCCCAGAGAAGAATGAATCCAAGCTGCAGGTGTTGCAGAGAACAGGGTCCAGTGCTGCCAAACATCCAGAGTAGATGCTGCTAAAAGCAATCACCTGCTACCTGAATGAGGACATCTGGGAGGTCTTGGGGATGGAAAGGACTTCACTGGTGGTTTTGCTGTCTGTTCGCACTCCTCTGAGTGCCAGCGTGCCCTGCAGCCTGCAAGGGATGTTCTAGAGCTGCTAACTGATAAAGCAGGGCTTCACACAATGAAAGAAGTATAGAGAAATGTTTGGATATGAACTTTAAACCAAACAGCAGAAAAAATGTAGTCTTCCGTTTAAAACAAATACAAGGGGTATGTGGTGATACCAACAATAGGCCTAGAGGAAGAGGGGAAAGAGAGCAGCCCAGAAGCTGGACTGCAGGACTGCAGGCCTAAGGGAAAAATTGGAAGTTCTTTCTCTGTCTCAGGTGTTTATACAGAGGAATTCTTCTGGGTTTTCTCTTTCTCAGGCTGTAGAATGAGGAGAGTATCTTTGTCTCAGGAGGTCAGTATGTGGACAAAGGGGATTATGAAGTGAGGTGAAACACACAGAGCAAGCTGGGCACACCACCGTAGTTCTGACAGAAGGCAGACAAGTCAAAATGGGAAGGAATGCATGTACAAGGAGAGATGACAACCTGCAGTTTATAGGGACACTACCGTTAACAGCCTCTATCTCATTTCCACAGCTACAGTATCCTCTGCTTAACTGCAATACATTTAATCAAGATGTTTCTTAGGGAACCAAATAAAGCTTGATGATGCTTAATGGCTGGGGCTTAATGGCTGGGTTGTTTAACTGGGCTCATAATTTTGATTAATTAAGATGCCTGCAGGTGTTGGAGTGGTACTTAGGCAACAGCTTTGATGTTCAGAGGCAAAGGGGGTTTTGTATCCCCTTCAAAAGGATTTCTGCCAGTGCTAGTTCAGCAAAGCAAAACTGCCTTCAAGCCCTTGCAAAAATGTTAACTCTCTTGAAGCTGGCAGTATTCTCCCGATTTCTGGGCAGCCTGCGTGCCCTTTTGACCAATTGATCAGAATCCCTGGTGCATTCAGGCAACGGACCCCATCAGAACAGCAAATTGCCCACCCCTGGACCAGTGTTTCCACTCTAAGAAAGCATCAGTAGAGCTTGTCCTTTCTGAGCAGCGGAGAACAGGAAGCCTGGCTTCCCATGAGTTCGTCCCCTGTGTTCGTACACCCTAACACTGTGATTTCAGCTTCCCCTGCCAGCATATCTCCCTTTACCTGCAACACCTTCCCTATCCTGCTCCGTCCCCACCTTGCCAGCTTCCCCTCACGCGTGGTGTGGGTGATCTACTGTAGCCTGGAGTATGGGTGTGCAGGGTGACGGGCCAGCGGGTACAAGCAATCACACTAGAACGTCCCCCTTAGGCAGGGAAATTCCAATTTGTATTTCCCTTTTCAATTCAGCAGCCAACTTTCTTGTAACACAGACCTCAGATTTTTGTCTCTCGAATGCAGATAAAATGCCCCCAGGTTAAAAAATATTTGTGGAGAAAATAGGACATGGATACCGGTGCGGCATGTGTTCATTTCCATAGGGAACTAAAACTCCGGAGAGAGGCACAATGAGCCAAACTTGTTGTTGTTTTCACTATCAAACACTGACATTAAGTTAAGCAGCACTTCATGATTTAAGGCTTAGTAAATTACTACTGCCAGCTACAAAGGCAACATTGCCTTGTGGATGGAGCGCTGGAATAGGGCTCAGAAGAGCAGAGTTAACTGCTCTTGGATTTTTATACTCTGCCATGGATTTACTGAATGAATTTGGGCAAATGTTATCTTCACATGTGTATAAATACAGGTCAATCTTTCACTGTTCTTGTAATCTGTATACTAACTGCAAAAATGAAGCAGCATAGTGTCTAGGGAGCACAAAGACAACCTTTTTCCAAGAAACAGCCTTACTGTAGCTTCTTGGCAAGCACAGGCAGTACAAACTTGAGTCAGGAGGAATGATCTCAGCCTTTTCATAGATCTGCATTGTTCCCCTCCACCACAGCTTTGCAGAGCAGGAATAAGAGACATTTAAATACGATTTATGGAAACTTAAATACAAATAGGAGTAGCCCCTTAGTCTTATTAGCATATTAATAGCTTGAGATGAATCATGACTATCTACTTTCCAGTGCAATAACACTGAAGCAGAGGTCAGGGTAGTATTATTCTGACCCAAGCGATGGGTCCACTTTTAAGGAAAATTGTTGAAATGTCCAGACACCAGCTTAATTTGTCCTAGAGTTATAATGTAGTATATTACAAACATACTGTGGATTCTGAAAATTCCTGACAAAACAAAAAAATATGCCTGGAACCTGCCTGTCAGTGTCTTCAATCCATCCTAGAGAATCCATCTCCTCATTACAGCCTGCCACAAATTTAGCTGCAGGGCTACTGTCCATAACCTAGCTGGTCAATTATTTTCCTCTACTTCTATACCAAAAGAATGCAGGTCCCAAGCCATTTTGTTTTTAAAGAGCTTACAAGGTTAGGGTTGAGTCCATCAACATGCAAGGCCCTGCTTGCCCTCTCCACTTTGATCGTTGAGCAAATATATTTTTTCCTGCATGATTAAAAACGTTAAATTTATGTATTTTCCCAGCACCTAGTAAGAAAAACATTTTGGTTACCCATCTCCATAGCTCCAGAATGGACCTGAAGGCCAGAGAAGAGCTTGTGCCACATTTCAGCCCTTTAAGTGATGTTTTGTTAAGCCAAGTTCCTCTTACCTCACTTTTAGGAAGATTTTCAGGACATCATATAGAGAAGGCAGAGTGAAACTCTGGAACTATTCATTAGAACACATTCTTTTATTAAGAAAGATCAGAGCAATAGCTGGAGGGACAGCAGGTGAATAGATGACACTGAAGCACACATTGTCAAAAATTGCTCAGAAGAGCTGAGTTGTTCAACAATCCAGCTAGAGTTGGGTACCTTGTTCTGCCAGTGTAAAGGAGCCTCAGATGTGGATATGGACCCCTGAAGAGCTTTGATCTTCTCATCAAGAAGCAGCTAAGAGGAGATAGAAAACTGGCCCCAGTCCCAGCATTGGAGGCCAAGGAAGAATATTACCACCTGCAAGTCTTGCCCCAGTAACTAAGCACCGGACTCACTGGCCAGAGCCTCACTGTGCTACCGAACAGCCATAGCCACAAGTCTTTGTCCCCCTTACAGAGCTGTAATCTCCTATTTTCTGATTCCTGGAGCCTGTATCAAAATGAAGGAAGCAGAACGTTAGCCAGAGCAGTGCAAGAGCTGGACTGCCTCAGCTTACGGAAGCTGTAGGTGCTATGTTCCTCAGTGTCTCCAGGGATACTCCCCTTGGGCTGTTCAAGGGAAATAAATCTACAATTTTGTGACCAGTTAGGTTTCCAGAAGACTTCAAACGAAGAGATTACTTTCTGCAAACTTTCTCTATTTCTCAATCAGGCAAAATTTATGAAATCAAACTTCCTTGATAATCTCAAGGTGACTTCCAAGGTCTCCTCCTCAGAGAGAAAACGAGCTTTACCATTCTTGCTGTCAACATGGTAGGGGAGGTGCAGCAGCAGCTTCCTGTAAAAGAGGACAGAGTGAATTTCAGCGTCTCGAGCAATTGAGATGGCACTGCAAGCTGCAGTTTGCCAGTCGGTATACCCAGGAATGTTCTTTCAGTATAGCTTGTTCTCATGACAGGTGGTGGGGTTCCTGCAATACCTGGTGTGCAGCGACACAGGCCTGGAAGTATTTCCAACACTATACCTTTCTTTTGGCTGTGGCTATGACAACGGTTTCTAACGATGGATTATGGGCTCGCTCCATCACTCTTGTTTTTGCACAGTGCTGCATTTAAAATGCAGAGGAAGGAGGACCTGCATGGATAATGCTCTCCTGGTGGTAAAAATCTGAATAATGCCTAAAGCCTGAACATATCTGCAGGAGTTTGTCTCCTTTAGCAAAAAGAAATAAGTGGTGCAGCCTGATTAGAGATTCTGGCCAGTCCAGTTTCACAAAGGATATGTCTACACTGCAAAGCACAGTTCAGGAATGAGAATGGACTTACACATAGAGCTTTTCCTGGAATGGCTGACAAGCCTTCTGGTTTATCTCCTCACGAGGATGTCTCAGCCTGGACACATTCAACTCATTGACAACAGCTCAAACTTGCTCATGTAGAGTTTGGACTATTTCCCCTCTTATCCCGGGCTTATATATTAACAATATGCATGGTGGGCCAGTCTCAGACCTCCACTCTATTGACAGTGCAAACAGTATCAAAGCCACTAAAATCAAGGTGTCTTCCCAGGCAAACTCTATAAAGCCCAACAAGACATGGTGGCATAAAACGGGGGTTACTTTAAATTGGGTTTAAGTCATGCTGATTCTTTTTCAGACCTTTTCAGCTGTCTTGTAGGAGCCATGGCTGAAAGGGGTACACTCAAAACACCTCCACACCACACCTACCAGAGGCAGCCATTTGTTATAATTTGGAGAAGTCCTTAAAATCAGCTTGGCTTAGAGTCAGGCCCAGGACTACAGAGTTGGAAACAGTTCCTTTGAGCCCTCCTATACATCTGCGTTTTTCAATATGTAGGACTTGAAATCTTGTTTGTTTCTTTCATACTGCGAAGACTTGCACTTCTATTTGTGAAAGCAGCACTGGCTCAGGCTGTACCCAAACAATCATTAGATTTATGGCAAAATTTTTATTTGTTAGGCTTGTGACTAGAGACAGCTGGATACTAAGAAGGTAACAGCAGGTCTGAGTCACCAAAAAGATAGAATTGCAAAAGAAAAAGGATGCTGAGGTTTTCCTACATCTGCAGTATTGCATTAAGCTACCTCTTTTACTACCAATAGGTTCTGCAAGCCATTAGCTGAACAATTATTCCTCCCAATTTTCCAGCTGCAGAGCTAGCACTTCCATTGTTTCACTCCTGTTGCATCTTTGGGTTAAAGCAAGGGTAACCAACTCAACCTGGTTTCCTGTCTGTGGGAAAGGTGGCTCTTCTATAGTTAGTCCACTAGGAACAGAATTTATTTGGACTTTAATCCATGGCCTGCACCCTTGAATTTATTTGCAGGAAGAGATTCACATATGGATCTTCCCACATCCCATTTAATGCAGCAAGCCAGCCCAGAGAGGATTAGCTTTCTTACGAAAAGTACTCTATTATGAAGGAGGACTTAAAGCAAAATAGACATGGGAATTATCTGGAAATCTCAGACAGGGCAATTGCACACTGAGGGAAATCACAGAATCATAGAATTTTTAGGCTGGAAAAGACCTTTAAGATCATTAAGTCCAACTGTTAATGCAGCACTGCTAATGCCACCACTAAAACATGTCCCTAAGCACCTCATGCTCCAGCACCTCAATGTCTTTCTTGCAGTGAAGGGCCCAAAACTGGACACAGGCTTTGAAATATGGAGCAAGATGTGAGAAGTCAGTGTGTATCAGTCAGTTGATTATTGTTGTTTCAAATAGCCCTATAAAAAAGAATTCAAAGGAAATCTCTTTAGGGAAACCTTGTAACATTTCCATCTCTGCATCCATATCTGGATATGCCCACAATATGGCTTTTAACTTCTGACAATGTATCTGCACATTTTTGACCATCCTGAGTTATATATTTGTACAAATTAGCATTTAGAAAGCAAACTCTCAGGAAGTCCCTCAAGACTGTGGGCAGTTATTTGCCAGACATTTTGGGCCCTTGAAGCCTTGCTGTTTAAGTAGGCTTAAAGCTATTTTTGCTAGAACAGCATCACAGATTCAAAGCTAGCACACTATCCACCTACAGATGGACGACGGTTGGTTTTGTCTACATCTATTTCTCATGTTCAATTAAATAATCCAATCTTCAGCTTTGCTTTCCACACAGCATTCAGTTGAAGGCTTGGTTAAACCTCCTTTCAAACAAGGTATTAACTGTACTTCCACTTCCTTCAACTGTATTTCACTTACTTTTGTGGAGTTCGAAGGTCAAGAACCTTGTCCTGGATATCTAATGTAATGTCTGAGTACTTTGTCTCTGGCAGCTTGATTTTAATCTGCAGTGATGGGCAGAGGTAAAGCAGTGATTAGATACGTAGCCCTACAAGCCAGAAAATCTCTCATCTTTGTGAATATTTTGATGCTAGTGTCAAAGAGCAACATTCTGAGTAGGTAATTTGTGTCAGAGAAAATACGGCAGTGGTAAGAATTGCTTTCAATAGCTTAGTGATGTGTATTGATATCCTGTTGTCTTCAAAATCCTGAGCTGATAATGTACTTGACAGCTATTCTACATCCAGCAAAACCCCCTGGCGTTGCATATTCCAAGGACAGCTTGCTTCTGCTAGAAAAAATCGCACAGCAGTTCTGTCTGCCCTGAAGATTAGTAAGCAGAGGGGTCTTTGATCATATAATACTGGGACGGGATCTGATACCTGTAACTTTAAAGTCTGTCAATACCGTAGCATTCTGCCAACTTGCCTGCCCTGTAATAAATGCAGGCAGATGAAAACCATCTCCTTCCCTTCCAACATTGTGTCCAAGATGAAACTTCATCTTAGAGCTACTTTTTATTTCTCTCAAGTCTGTATGTGGCATATGCATTTGCACACATTCTCTTGAGTACACTAAGTCCTTGAGGACTTCTGAATTCCTCAGGTTAGCAAGTGTAAATATCATCTACAGACACTTGAAGAACTACAGGAGGCCAAGGCAGAAATACAGCTTGGTGTTTATATTCTGTCTCTCAAGAAAGCAGCGAGATTGAAAAGGGCAGAGGAGCACGAAGAAGGGATGGGAGATAGGGATTCAGCTCACCACCATATCTTCACAGCAGGCTGTGGAGGGGTCTTTCCTGCTCATCCCAAAGAAGACGTCCTCTGTCCCCACACTCTGTTTGAATAAAATCTCATACCTGAGAAAGAGAAGAAGTTGCCCCTAATAATACTGAAGAAGGAGCAGGAGACTAAAGGAGATTGTATTTCTGAGAGGACTGTCAATACCCTCATCGCATTGTCTCTCCTCATTTTCAGCCTCCCTTCAAGACTTCCACCCATCTGCCCTGGGTTTCTGTTCAGAGCCATGACTGAGTTAGCTAGAAGACAGGTGAAGATCACTCACTCCACCTTCCAAGGCACTCACTTTGCTGCCTCAGCTTCAGTAACCAGCTTTTGCAGGATCAGGAAATGCATCCTAAGTGAATATGACACTGCTCAACTTGTCAAAACACCACAAACTCTTGGGAAATGGATTTGGAAATGATGCTGTTGCAATTACATGTGTTCTGTTCTGTCATTCAACATACTCTTGCAGCCTGAGCATAACACACTTTTGTCAAAGCTGAATTCTTTTGCATTCGGCCAACATTTATTTTCTCCCCCTACTCATCTACAAAGTGTAGAATCACATACTCTCTTGCTCTTGATACTTAATGAATAAGGAAATATAAACTAAAGATTGTGTTTAGAACATACATTACTCCTACTAAATTGAGCAAAATAAATGGAGTGAGTCACTTCTCTAAGCTGTTGGAGAGAGTGTATGGAAAGCCTTTTTCACATCTCCAGTGTTCATCTGCGTAAGTAATAATTCCTAAGTCAATGAGAAATCTGTCTAACAGCTCTGATGCACCTCTCTAGCCATCTGTTTTCATCTGGGGCCATTTTCCTTGATTCAGTTTGATGAACTGTTACAAAGACTTCTTCTTTCATCTGTGTGACACTGGTCATAATCGCTTGAGGCTAGAGAAGCACTGTGTTTTACCCAGCATGGGGGGAAAGGGTCAAAAAATAGCAGGAGACAAGCTTCTGTTGTGCCCACAATACAAGGAGAGCAGGTTCTATACCTCATAGGTGACAGTTTCAAGAACAGCTGTGCATGAGGCTATAGGTGAGTGCCAGATCGTTTTCAGAAATGCTGAGTCCAAGTGCAGGTGGGCCTCAACCCCATGTTTAGATCAGGAAATCGAACGCCTAACGGCATGACTTACATGCAGAGAAAAATGAGGATTCTAGACTACAAACTCCCATACGATATGCAGCTTCATAGGCTTCAGTTGTTAAGAATTACTAACTGTTTAGCCTAAATGAGTAAGTTTTAAATAGAATGGAGTTAGTCACTGAGTATTAGGACACAGGGGTTACAGCATGATGTTGAGTGATTTGGGACACTGTTCGTTACTAACTTAGCATGAGTAGCTCGGTTTGCTGAAGCCTTAGGCCTTAAGCTGGAACTTTCACCTAGATACTCTTTGGGCTGGGATAGAGTTAATGTTCTTCTTAGCAGCCGGGACAGAGCTGGGTTTTGGGTTTAGTGTGAGAATAAGGTTGGCAACACAGACGGTTTAGTTGTGGCCCAGTAGTGCTTATCCCAGGGTCAGGCTGACGGCGCGCCAAGCGCACAAGAAGCACAAACCAAAAAAACCAAAGGGTGGGGAGGCCCCCGCCCTCAGCAGAAGCTGCAGCTCACCGATACAAGACCAGCTACCGGCCTGCCTGGAGACACGGAAAGAATCCAGTAAGGTGCTAGCACACCCCAGACCAGAAGTCACCCCTGGACTAAAAAGGAACATGAAGAGTGTGTGAGGGGCAGGTGCATGGATTATAAGGGGGTAATTGCCCAGGAATTCCTTTGTTTGGGCTACCCCTCCAGAGACACTCAGCTCAAGCTGGGTTTTTCCTGCTGCATCATCTGAATAAATTATCTTTTTTATATATAAGATTCAATACCTGATACAGGAAACTGAGAACCAAACCTGAGGAAGGGAGAAACATTCAAGATTGAGAACGTGTGTGAGAAAGGAAGCGAAAGGGGCACCCATTGATTCACTGGAGTTGCTGGCTGTGAAGGGACTTGGGTCCTAGCCAGAAAGACTTGGGTGGTGAGTGTGTGACTCGTAGGATGGTATGTGTCCTCAAGCAGTCTCTCCCTTAACACAGTCCATCTGCTCCAGCATTTATCACCCCAAGACATGGCACCAGAACACAACGATTAGAAATGCAAAGGCTGCTTTGTGGATTGGCCCTGAAAGCTTTCTGACCTCCACAAACTACAGTAGGCCTGACTGTTTTTAGGCTGTCTGACTGTTTTTAGGTTTTCCCTTGACAGACTAAGATTGAATGATGAGATTTAAAGGTTCAAAACTGCCTGCATATAGTCTTACTTCCTGTAGTACTATTTGTCTCTAAAGACCTTAATTCTTTGAAATGCAAATGTAAGTTGGAGCACTTTATGAATTTATGAGTATGAAAAATGAAAGCATCTTGGTTGCAGCAGGAAAAGACAGGTATTTCACACAAATGGCATATTTAAAAGCTAGTAAATCGTTTTGCTAGCCTACTTCCCCTCCTAATCTCACTTCATACAAGTATCTGACACTGTAAGTAGTCTTATGATGGGAAAACCTGATGCTACATTTCTGTTATGAGATTAGAAGGTTTCCAAGGGAGAGATTAAAATCACTCCTCACAGGTTGCTTTAGATGCAACATTGATATCCTTCCTTTCTCCTTGCATGACACAAGCTTTTCAGATAGCTGTTTCACTCCTATTTCCATTAATGCAATGTAAAGCCTATGCAGGCAGCCTCAGCTCGCTTACTCTGGCTGTTCTCTAGGGTCCCAGGTATCATCAAATTCAGATCCTTCTGGGATCTCCTCTGTATTCCAAATACTTTTCCCAGTTTCAGATTTCACTGGAAAAGTACCTGTAAGTGATGAGAAAAAAAAATCACGCTGTCATATTTTGGCATGTCTCTGTTCCTCTACATCTGCTGAAAACTTACAATTTTTCCAGGTTTTAGAAAAATCTTTGTATTAAAAGCATTCTAGTTAATGAATAGAGTCTCCTTCACCTCAGTATCTTATGAATGAGAATTTGCAGGAGGAGGATGTCTTCCTTTCCCTTAAATCTCCATTACACAAACTCTGTGTCAAGGAAATCCTCCTTTCAGGCATAAAATGTCTAGCACTTCAAAAAGGGTAAAGTGTAGATGTATGAAATATTAATCTCCCCCAAGCCCTCTGACATGAGATTTTTCAGTGAGCAGTCATTTACTAAAGAACCTCTTCCTCACACAGAAATCCAGTTCTTCCCATTAATTATTGAGCCCAGCCCGGATAGGGCACTGAAGACACATGAAAGCTCACAGGCAGCATATTATGGTTTATGCCTGTCCTACATGGAAAAATCTATTTTTTAGTAAGCTGGTAAATCTGGAACTTGAAGGTTTTTATAGTAGAATCTCTGGTTATTGTTGGAATGTCAAGCAAAAATACTCTATTTGTTGTATTTGCCACAGTTCCTTCACGCTACGCTCATCCTGGTCCTTGCTGACCTTTCTTATGGCTCAAGAGCTAAGCTGCCTGGCTAATGTGCCAGCATTAGCTCCAGGAAGAACTTTTCACTAACTTTGCCTAGACTAAAATTGCATTCCTTCCTATCCTGAGTACAATCCAAGGTGTTGACACAAACGTAGGAATCCTGAAGATATTTGTTCATGTTGTCTGCGAGTCTGCCTTCCTATATGATGCCAGAACGCTTGGAGTCAGGGAAAGCGTGCAACTCTCCGGGGTTTCCAGACAAAGAACTAAGAGCAGAAAGGAGAATAACTGAAAAATGTCACCCGGTCTGTTGAGGGCAGCACTGAACAAAGCTTCTATTTCTTCCCATGTGTAGTCTAAATAGGGTTGTGAAACCTTTTGGGGGAATATGGTATGACTGCGTTCCGTGGTACACTTCATAGCTCTTCCTCCTCATAGGCATAGGCTGACTTCCACGCAGTTAACTCCATGAAGATCATTTCAGGTGAGTATGTAGAAGTCCATCTTCCTTGTTTGCTCTAAGTGAGCACTAACAATTCCATGAGAGTACTTACATGAAGCTTTTTGCTGTTCACTTATGATTCCCCTCAGCCTGTGACCAGCCGGTGCTCTGTACTGCTTTATCATCGCCACTTGACACTGCTGTGCTCTGGGATTACCCTTTCTGCTTCTGTTTGTATAGTTTGCAGTTAAGGTTTCAGGAAAAGAAGATTCTTACAGTGTAACTGTCGAAATGTAATGCTATTTTCCATCTCACAACTCAGTGATCACTCTCTTATTGAGGCAAACCCCACCAGTGGTAATTTACTACGGTTGTTACTCTGCTACGTGGGACTAAACATGATAAAACATACAAACACTCCTCCTTACCTGTGGTCTCTTTCTTTACTGGCCCAATACTACCAGGAGTCATGGTACTAACTGAACAGTGTGGCTGCAAAAAAAGGCAAATGGAACTTCAATCACTTTGCATAGAGTCCAGCTCAGTAACAACGACCATGTCAGTAAACGTAGAATGTTATTTGAGGTCAAACAAATCCCTACTAGAAGCCAAAAACTACTAGCCCATAATTCCATGACTGAACCACCATTCCCTCTTCTTCACTCTCACCCAGCAGAAAGTGACCCTGACATACTGGATTTAAGCAGGACTCCCAGGAGTGCTTTTAGACTATTAGTTTCCATGGCATTTTGGCAAAACGTCCACGCTTTACCTGCCATGAAAATATTGCAGGAAACCAATGGTGCTATGTGAAAACTCCATCACATTTGGATTCCTTTTGACAGTAGGGATCATATAAGGCAGCAACATTTTCCTTTAATTATGAATCAATTTACTGCTAATAGGCCAATATGAGGCATTTCTCTCTATATGAAGACTCCTTGGTTTGATAAAAGTGCCTCATATGCACAGAGCATTAAATTAAATCAAAATAATGATTTCAATTTACCCAGATTGACTCAAACTTAATTGACATCCCTTGTGGCAATTTTCCATTTCTGTCTCTGAAATGTCATTCATTTTCTTAATAAGATGTAAACAAATTCTTTTAAAATCAGGATGTTTACTGCAAAGATGTACAGCAATAACGCTAATTTTAAAAAGGCAGGAATTAATCAGCTGAAGGGTAGTTTGAGTGTGAAGGCCCATATCTACCACTTACTGAAAGGATATGTCAAGGGATATGTACCCCTTTTATCCCAAATATTGCTACCATTGCCACTACTAGCGCACAACTCCTGGGTCAGGCAGCTGGCTCTTTATTCAGGAACGATTTGGATGAACACTGAGGCATTTGCCATTTTTGTTATCCATGTCATAACATGACTCGTTCAAAATCTTAACAGGTTTGGCAACGTTTTGAGCCTTCGCAGAGGCCTTCTACATTGTGACTGCCAGCACCTGTGGCCCTCCTGGGATATTTCTTCCCAGCACACATGCCTGCCTAGATAAAAGCAGCAGCTGCGTATTGCAGGAGCAACATACGCTTTCCAGAAGCTGTGATTTTCATCTAGTCCAGAGATGAATTGATACAGAAGAATGGAAAGGTATTTCTCTCATTAATCATTCAGATCACTCACCTTAGAATGATTGCTCACCCTTCCCAATTCTACAATCACCAACATATCTATTGTAATTCAATTATCAATTATCTCTACAGTCCTTCAATGCCTTTAATCTGAATTAGCATACTCTATCGCCTCTGGATATTTTACTTTTTACCCAGGAGCTGAGCAGCAACTTTTTTTTTCCTTCACACGAAGTATTTAGCTGTACTTGCCTTCATTTCTGGTAGACTTCAGGGAAAAGTAGGGTGAAGCCTAAAGTATCTAAAGCCCTTTCAACTACATGTTCTCATTTCCTTCAGGCTGAAAAACTAAACCTCCCTTTTTGTTGTCACAATCTTTCCTTGTTTTCCTGGAGCGTCTTATTCTCCCCCTCCAAGAGCTTGTAACCCTAAAAAGTATCTTCTAACTGTTTCAGCCAGTCCAAAAATCTTCTAATCTTCATTCTCTTTTTACTCATTGCAGAAAAAGAGAGATTTGCTGCTCCTCAGTTAGCAAGGTTAGGCTATGCTGCAACATGTAAAAAAATCAGCATTTCTTATGAAAGACTCACCACACGGTCATCATCGTCATCATCATCTTCAGCATCATGAAGCAGTTTGGCAAGGAACTGCAGAGAAGCACCTGAGGAAACACTGTCCATATCAATACCCACTGCTCACCTACAGAGAAAATCAAGTGACAGATGAAGAAAGAACAAAACATGTTCTGTACACTCTGTAAAGCACCATTTTCCTGCTGTGTGTTCTGGAAAGATAAAGTTTAGCCAAACTCTTACATGCATGATGTCAAAACACATATATATAATATATATGATATCCAATATACCATATATAATGGAACATAAGTAACCTTTCCTCGCAGTGCTCGTATTAAGGACTCTTTTGCTCCACAGGCACTAGTTGCAATCACAGCTCAAGCCTTACAGTGACTCTGGGCTCTGATGGAACCCATGACCATATGGATTTGCAGCTACTGCAGCCAGGGTGAAAAGGCAGCGGGACACCTTGGCTCACAGCTGGCACTGGGGGGTTTGGCAGAGGTCTTCACACGGGTTCTCTGCCCACCAGCCTTGCTCCAGGAAGCCTTAGGGCAGCCCCAGCTCCAAACACAAGCTGAGGGCAAACAAGCGCAGCGTCAGGGGAAGCGACCCTCACCACGGCTCCGCTTTCAGGCTGCACAGCGGCTCCCGACCCGGCGGTACAGCGCACCCACCCACAGACGCAGCAGGCGC